AAACTTTAATTTATTTTAAAAATTAAAACTAATATGTAATTTTTCTTATTCTATTTATTTAATATCATATATCATATAATTATAAATTTATCATTTTAAGTGATACTATTTTTTATACTAAACTTTAAAATTTTAAAAATTATATTAGTATCAACTAATTTAAAATTGAATCATAATAAATCACATAATTTTTTTAATATCTATTGCTATATTTATTAAATTTAAATTTAAAGTTTTATTTAAATAATATTTGCACCCAAATATATGACTTTATTTTATTTAGACTTTATTTAAATCAAAAAATTAAATAATCAAAAAAATCAAAAATCCCACTCAGATGTCAAATTCTTGTAATATAAGCATGACATGGCAATATTTTGCCATCCAAGCAGCCAAGCTGGCGTGTCCCAAACGGTAGTTAAGCCAGGCAACGGAGTCCCAAAACGGCAGTTAAGTTGGCATAAGAATAAGGGCTTAATTGCTTTGATCCCAGAGTTCAAGGGCTTACATGCTTCAATTAAAGTATAGGGGCTTAATAGCCATTCTGGGGTTAGTTTAGGGGCTTAACTTATGGTTTTGCCTTTGAATTTAATAAATACTCGAACTCAAATCGGGATCAAAATTTTAAGACGAGCTTGACTAGAATGCGGCCTCCTCTTCTTCAAACCCAAACCCTAAAATAAACACTACCATAACAAAACCAAGTACTCCGTAATTGACAGCCAGAAATAATCGAAACAGTAACAGAACGATGACACTAGCAATCCAAACTGTCTTGAATTTGGTCCCTGATTTCACTTTAATTTCTGGATTGCAGAGAGAGAAGTGAGAGTTTGGATTTGGGTCTCCGTCTATTTGGTTCGAGAGTCCGAGGGTTCTGTTCTTAGGTAAGTGCAGGCTGAGCGAAGTGAGAGTTTTCTGGGTTCCGGTAGTGGGAATTTTTTTTCTTTTTTTGTAAACGACCATGCATAAGTTCGAATTTGAAGGTGAAGGAACAAAATTTCGTCTATAACCCACCTTCCAGCTAGCAATACAAAGAGGATTTCTGTTCAACCTCAGGTATATATATATTTATTTGCGTAAAAGTTTAGATTGGGTCTCCTTGGATTTGGTTTTCTGCTTTGTTCTATTCTTTAATCTGCTTTTGGATTGGAAATTTATGGTTGCTTATTTAATCTTGAGGATATGAGTTTATGTTTTCTGTTTTATCGCCTGTCCTGAATGTTTGCTCGTTGGTTGATGGATTCTTCATTATATTTGTGCTTGTGTTTTGGGATGCGTTTGCATACTGAGGTTAGGGGTTTTTTCTTCTTTTTTCTTAAAGAGTTCTGGAAAGGGGGGTCCAAGGGATTTTTTTTTTTTTTTTAAGGAGCTGTTTTTCTGAATTTTCTTCCAAGGGTTGAGAATTGGAAAGGCAGGGCAGGGCTGTGAAGCGAGACTTGGTAAAAATTTCGATGAAATCCAATTTTTGTCCGGTATTGTAATTCTTGAATATTTGATATTCTAGCCATTGATTGACCCTTTTATGCTTAGTTTGAACCAGATTGCATTTTATTTCTTATATTAATCTTGGGCTAGACAATTCAACGTTCATATCTGGGATGTCTGTGAATAACCTCTTTTTTTTTGTTTTTAATGAGCTGATGTAACTCCTCTGAATCTGTCTTTCAATTTTCTAATTTCTTCTTTAAGATCACATGTGTTGCACCAATACTGTCATATTTCATTTTGTCATGTTCAATTTGGATTCTGAAAAAAAAAAAAAAAAAGGCTTCAATGTTTGTCATCATTGAATATTATTTAAAATTTTCCTCTATTTGCTGTTAATGGAGATTAAAATATGTTCAGGGGCTATTACTGGGAACTGGTTTTCTAAACTTGAATTTTCTTGTTTTGCATCAATGATTCTGTGTTCGTTTTGTGTTCTTCCTTGCTGTCCTCTTTTGATCCAAACGCATAAAGAAAAATGTCTAAAAAATAAGCCTATTGAAAAATACTAAGAAAAAAAAAATTGAAAATCATTAAAAAAAAAAAACTAATTAAATGATTTGCTTGTCTATATGATATTCAATTTATTTCCCAATGTTATTAAAGTATTCAACTGTGTTTTTCATGGAGGCTGTGGGGTGCATGTATGCTCTTCCCCATGCCTAATCATACCCCGGACCTTGAATCTTTGTGCAAACCATGTTTTTTTAAGGAGACTTACTCCAGCTTCTAATCTGAGCAACTGGCTACTCCAATTTTCAATTTCCATACAATTTTCAATTTATTTTAAATTTTAAGTGGTCATCAACAGTGCCAACTAAAATTTTAGCTTAATGTCATTCTAATGGTAGACGAAGTAAATGGAATCTCAATGTAAATGAAGAATGAAAAGAGAGTTTTAAGCCTTAATGAGGGTACTGAATTGTATTGCCTAAAAGAATCAAACTCTTCTCTTTTGAATTTACAGAATGCTTTCTAAAGAGGTCAAATTAAATTATTGCTCGTTAATTTGTCTTTGCCCCCTTCTAGCGAATTCATTGTTGATGGTCAAACTTGACCTAATCTTGTATAGGTGTGGGATGGACAATTTTCGGCAGCAGAAGGTACAGAAATTTGAGGAATTTGTTGATCACCGCCTTAAACCAGATCTTGTTCATGCAATTGCTGAACGGTACTTTTTGTTAACATTGATGCCCTTTAAATCATTATGAAATTTTTACTATCCTGTATTTTAGGACTCCAAGTAAGGAGAGCTGTTTGAGGTTGAATTCAGTTTTAGCTTCTGTAAGTGTAACAAACAAGCTTAATGAACTAGCTGACCTTGAGTTTAAGAGATATTGACTTCTTTATTCCCGCAAACAATTTGGGAAAGACATTGTGAGTAGTTTTTCCTTCCTTGTCTGTAGGCTCATTTTCTTTCTTCATGTTTTACTGTGCAACTATGTTAGAAGTGAAAATTTTATATAAAAGATTTTAAGTTGTTTTAATGTCATATAAAAAGATTATATTTTTTGTGTGTGAGAGTTCTAGATCAAGTTCCTGAATAAAGTGCAAGAACAAGTTAAGCTCAAGCTTTATTGATATGCTTAGATATGTCTTCTTTTTCTAGATGCACCACAAGTTTATTTCAACAATTGGTTGAGCAGAGAAATGTGAACATGATCATGTCCTCAGATATTCTTGCTTGTGCATGTTATTTAATACTGTAGTTAAAAAGAATGATAAATAAGCATGAATTAGAGCATTCTTCTGCACAATCAGAATTTTTCTTGAAATGAAGGAAATCTATTTTAGAATGAGTATTGAGTAGTATTCTTTCACTTTCTAGGACTTAAATTTGTTAAAATGCATTTCCATTATAAGCTCTTATTATAGACGCATATTCACTGCTGGTTCTATTTGTTGTTTTTGCAGGGATAAAGTTTTTGAACAACAAAAGGTTTTGTATCCTTTATCTGGTTTCTCTGAATTCTTGTTGGTTGGGATACATGGCTTGGTTTCTTTTTCCTTTTACCTGAAATTTTCTTGGGGTTACATATGAAATGATTTTTCCATCTTGATGTTTTCATTGATTTTCTTGAAGACAATTTTGTAAAAAATTTTGCATTACAAGGCTTCATTTGTGTAATAGGGTAGTAAATTGCATATAATGATGAACAATATAAAGTATTGTGAATCTTTCCTGCTTTGAATAAAAAAACATTTTTTAGTTTATTGTTCTTTTCAAGTTGATGTTAATTTGAAGCAATTCAACCTTTTGTTTGCTTTACTGACATTTTAGAAAATTTTTTTTTTTATTTACTTTTGCATTAACTTCTCCAATATTGAAAAAGAGACTTAATGTGTATGAATCTTCATGACCTATTTGAAGATCCTTGTTTATTTTAGTTTACTTTGACCAATGGTCTTGTAGCTCAGATTTGCGAAGGAACATAGAAAATTTAGAAAAAAATAGTGTGACCAGTCTTCAGACATTGGTCAATCTTGGATCAGAAGTCTACATGCAAGCAGAAGTGTATGTCTTCACTATGTTTCTCATGCAAGTTTTCATTTGTGATATTTGCGTGAATGCATTTTATTTCTTCCAGTTTTATCTATTTTCTTTTTCTTTTCTTTCTTTTTTTTTCTTTTTTATTACTTTTATGAAATTTCTATCCATCTATTTTGTTAATTATGTTTTTTTTATTAAAAAGAAAAAGAAAATTTATTACTGTTAGTTACCACTTAGTAAAAGCCATGCCTGGGGCTAGCTGTTGGCCCACTGCCTCACCTAGGCATCTAGGTGGTGGGATTATAGGCATTTCTGTTGCCTTTAAAGTGGTTAATCACAATTCACACCTAATTGCAAACCCAAATGACATTGTGAAGTCATACTAGTGAAAACGGAAGATTAGTTTTCTGTGTAGTTGTCCTTGTTATTATTAGTTATAATTAATAGTAGCATTATGCCATTATCTCAAAATGAGCTTATAGTGGCATTGCTTGCATAGTTGCATGCCTGACCAGTTGGACTAACTCATAATTGTTTTTGGGGACTGCATTGCTCAAAAGCATTAGACTTGAACAACTAATTCAGAATGTGTTAATGAAAGTAAAAATGTTTAACTTGTTTTATCTTCGCTCTCCACAGAATAAAGGTTTATGCTTTATATGTGATTTGGGTATTGTGGTACAAGGGTGGGCAATATAAGACAATTTTGCTGAATTTTCTCTGGCAATTGAATTTAGATTGGAAACATATATCTTCCGAATTTCATTTATTCATTTTAACTTGAACTCTGCTCTCTCTCCCCCCTCCCCTTTTCTTTTGGGGAAAATTGTTTTCTGGCAGACCAGATACACAATGTATTTTTGTGGATATTGGCCTAGGTTTTCATGTGGAGTTCACATGGTCAGAAGCTTTGAACTTCATATCATTGAGGGAAGAAAAGTTAGCAAGGTATAAGTGCTTATTTGACTAAGCTTCTCTCTTGAAATTGTTCTGTTAATAGCTTGTTTTGCTTATTAATTTATAGAGAAAAAAGGTACTTGTTGAAACCTCAACTAACAGTAAACTAGCAACGATTTGTTAAATGTTCCTTTGACATTTTGGAGATGACTTTTGTATTCTATATATGGAGCTTTAATGACTCTTAACAAAGCTCATTTCTTATTGTATTTTTGTCAAAAAAAAAAGAAGAAGTTATTGAATGGTTAAAATAATCGGTGCAAGTTATGCAGCTTACACCTTGACATGTTATTTGAGTTGCTTAGTGTTAGGGCAGTTTAACTGCACTGCCTATGAAATTAAACTGTCAATGCATCAATGGTTAGTGATGTGTCAAATGTAACTTGTGAGAAGCTTTTGCTGTGCTTGAGGTTTTAATTCTCTTGCTAATAATGTTGCATGGTTTGGCATGCTATAAGACATTTGGAAGTTCCTTATTAAGCACCTACAAGCTGCTTTCTGTGCTGCAGATTGGTTAATAATTCTTACCCCCTGTTTGGTTTGAGGGAAACGGAAGGGAGGGGAGGAGTGCGAAATGGAAGGAAATCCTCTACCCTCCCCTTGTTTGGTTAGACTAAAATGTAAAGGAAATTAAAATAAAATAAGGGGAAGCCCCCCCACCCCCCCCTGCCTGCAGAGTGTATTTTTCTGTCTTCTTTTCCTGAATCACTTTCTTTTTATCTAAAGTGTTGCTGAATTGTATCATGCAGGCAAGTAGAGGAGTATACTCAGCTAATTGCATCAATTAAAGCTCAAATTAAGATGGTAGGTTTATCATGTTGATTTTGTTTTTGTTCTTTTTATTCATTTGTTTGATACTTTCTTCTTGTTTCCTTTTATGTTGCCATCATCTTGGAATTCTAGATGTCTATGTGGTACTTGACCCTAGAGATGAGGATGGTGCAAGTCATCATTTATTTGCCTGTAAATTTTAAAGCATGACTGGGTTATTTATAAACTTCAGTAGACAAAACTTGAACCAGTCTTTTAGCGAACAGTTGCCTTTTTGAATTCTTTGCGATGAGCATGCATTCAGAGAGAAATTTCTGGGTTGTCTAAATCATATTACCAGATGCTTTATTACTCTTAAAAAAAAAAAAAAATTCTAAAAGCATTAGTCTCGTTCATTGTATACAGGTTTGTGAAGGAATTCGAGAATTGCTTGAGATTCCAGCAGAGAGATCTGTACAAGAGCGCATTTTTTAGTATTTATAACTTGAATATGTAATCTGTTCCTCCATTTCGTTCATTATTTATTTCTGGTCTTCCTTGAGAATTAAGCTTTTGTTATTGTACCTTTTGGATGTAAAATCCTTGAGTATTAAGCTTTATTTTCTTCAACTCGTTAAATCTTGCTGATTGATTTTCTTTCTTTTTCTTTTTCTTTTTCTTTTTTGTTTTTTTTGGGCCATGCCGTAAACAAAAAGCTATGTTCACTGCAACGTCCCTGTTTGCAGTGTTTGGATTTGTGGGTTGTGCAGGGGGAAATTGCTGTTTACATTTTCCATTCCTGTGCTCCTACTTTTCTGTCATCTTTTTACGGATTAGAAATAACGGATGAGCATTGGATACACACGTGTGTATATATATATATATATATGTGAAAAATTGTTTTATAATTTATTTTGGGTCGTAAAATAATAATTCTTGGATGAGAAATGGGGTTCTCTTATATTAGATTTCTCCTTCGTTTAAGAGTTTATTTTTACAATTCAGATTATAAAATAATAGATTATATATATATATATATATATAAATCTATCTTTCAAAGATAAGTAAGAAAAGTATCTTCAAATTTTGTTATTTTAATATATTTAAAATAAAAAACTTTAAATACTTTATTTTAATTGTACAAATTAAATTATTTTGTCTTTTTTACAATATTTATTAAAAAGTTTACATATCTTTATTATATATACCATACTATGTCAAATACTTTACCTCGAACAACTTAAATAGTCAAAATTAAGCAGCAATTAACATGGGCACATCAATAGTTTACATTACTATTTTCTATTTATAGAAATGTATAAAATGATTCTAAACGTTTATCAGAACTTCAAAGGGACTTTAATTTTAATTGCTTACACCAACCCCTGGCACTGGAGATCAACATATATCTTTTTGTGGTAGATATTACCATCTCTGTCTTCAAACTCTTCAAGATCTTGGCACCAGTTGTTCTGAGCTTTCTGTTGTTGTAATATGTTCCACAGTGCTAACGCTTCCTCAATTGACCTGATTTCATTGAAGTCCTTGGTATAAGGAATACCAAGTTGACGCATTCCACGCTGATGGCGTGATTCCTGAAAATGCCTTTCAAAAGCCCTACGTCCCCAATAGCTGGAGTCCCCACAAATCTCACACTTGAATTCCTGATCAAGGCCATGCAGCTTATAAAGCCAGAAAGGTATTGGCTTCCCATCCCAACCCATTGGCAGTTTGAGAGGATTATAGACGACAGGTTGCTGCTCTTCGCCATCATTCTCATTGTCAAATTGTGTGGTCTCTTCTTCTTCTTCCTCCTCCATTCTGTCCCGTTCCATTTCCTTACATATCAATGCCTGCTTTTTCACCAGATTTTGCTTTGTTTCTTCAATTGTCTTACTCAACAGATGACAAAGTTTATTAATTTTGGCCTCCATCAGTGCGATGTCTGTATAATTATTTTCTTGTGCCAAAAGCTTTGAAAATATTCTGTCAACATCTTGTAGTGGTTCAATCCTTCGATAGAAATCCATCAAGTACTCCAGCAGATTCTCCATGTACTTTCTATATTGCCTCGTCGACTTGAGTTTGAGCGGTATATTCTGCGTTTGCGAAAACTCATCAAGGTAAGCAGAGTAATCAATTGGTTTGCCAAATTTAGAGTTGATGTATTGATTGTACAGTGCATGCAAGTCTAGATACCGGCCAAAACCCTCCTCTCCAGTAAACTTGATGACCGGTAATGCCTTGTACTCATCATAGCCTGCATTAGCATCATGAGAAGCCGGATGCTTTCTATGGTACTCACGAATCTCTTTCAATCTACCATAGAAAGCACTAAACACGTCTGTTCCAAGTGATGCAATCTCTTCCTTTCTCGCATTATCTTTATCTTCGTAAGTATCAATGAGTCTGTTGGTTGTGGAGGTAATAGAATCGATCATCTGGCGTACCCTATGGTTCCGAATCAAGCGGTCTTTCCGGTTAGTTAGTGGGTCGTCGTCTTCAAGGCACTGGACTATGAGTAGCTCCAGCCTCTCCACCTCCTCATGTGCGGATCGAGTCACCTCCACTAGTGTTGAAGCCATGATGGTGGCTTTCTTTCGATTCAGGAAAATTATCGTGATGGAAGTTGGGGAAAAGTCATATATTTTATAGGCTCTTTAATTCTAATTCTAGTCGAATTCCATCTCTAGATATTAATTAGTGGGTATATTCAAATTCAATGTAATCCTAGTTTTAATCTAATTAGGTTCAATCCTAATCCTAGCTGAATTTGTATAGGTTATATACACTGTGGAATCCACAACATCCACCATCTGAGAAAAGAACAACAGTGCCGGTGGTTGATTCCTACAAAACCCACCCATGAAAGGAAGGAAAAAAATGAAAAAAGAAATAAACAGTTGGATATTGAGAAAAACCCAGCGGAATTCAAGAAATTAGACATTGATAATGCCCAAGTCGAGGCTTTGCTGAAGACAACATGAGGCTGTGATCACCACACCCAATTTAAGCTAAAATTTTGCGTTTACACTTTACAAAATCAGGACAAGCTCAACGTAACAGAGAAAAAAAAAAAATAAAAGATGCAAATTAAAAGGGAGATTTTGAACTAGAAATGAACAATAACAGACAAGCCAAGGTCCTCGGAGACCTCTTGGCAAAGCAGAGTTGAGGGAGTTCGCACCTGGATGCATTTTTAGGGTAAACTGTCTGACATGTTTGACTGTGCTGAGTGTTAGTGTTGTTAACACGTTCCTAGACTAAAATAATCTCATTTCCAACCTCCTGAAACTCACAAGCTAAGCTGAATCGGCAATTCAACCAGCACAAGTACATACCTTACATATGTTTAATTACATTCTAGTTTTAAGTATTTTAAAAATCAACCTACAGTTTGGCCAAGAAAAACATCAAACACAGATAAAATAAAACCGCAGATGGTTAAAATTTGCTAAGAAAAGGCAAAATATATAGCTAGATACAAAGTCTGAAGCAAAAAATTTAACATTCATTCAAATATAGTCTTGGCCAAAAAACACTATGATATATTTTAAAATATCAAAATGCGAGTTCCACAGCTCAAAATCAAACCATTTGGTTCCGATGCATGACATATCCTGCATTAGGAAAAAGAAAACTGTATTTATTATGTCCTACTTATAAGAAGTAAGAGAAAGAATCTTAATCAAGAAATATAGATTCCAAATATAGCAAACTTAACCATATTTAAAAGATGAAGCCGAAAAAAAGAAATGATAATAATCAAAAAGGAAAAAACTAGTACAAGATAGGCCAAAGACAACCCATATCACTCAAGTCTTTTCCTTTCCTTTCGCTATTCTACTTTTATCATGCTCAGCTTAGATAACTATGTTACATTCTTCTTTAAAGTCGCTTAAAAATGTAATTAAACTCATTAATGCGCATTAACCCATAACATGCAGAAAAGTTGCTAAACAAATTTTAGTGAGAAAGTGAGGATAAACAAAAGCAGCAGACGAAAAACAGAACCAGACTAACAAGGTGTGAAAAAAAGAAGAGTCAATAAATGCATCTAAGATGAATGGTTTGAACTAAAAGAGATTAGTAATGCAGCTAGAACATAACTACTCTTTTCACGAGATTTTCACCATTTTAGACCTGGCTCAAAGGGATTCCAGAAATGAACAGTAACATTGATTGACTGGCATGATGAATTAGACTTTTCTAGCACTTAATTAAGGTAGTACATTATTTCATAGAAGTTAAATATGATACCACCACCAGGTTACATTCAGTGTTGTGTGTATATGTCAATACAATGTTCCAACAATTTGATTATGAACTTTCACACTTTAATTTTTCTGATTTTGTGTCTACTGGTTGTACAAGAGAGATATGTATTGATGTATATAGTGCTACCAACTTTCATCACCAACAAAATTAGTGAAAAGAGAAAAATAAAAAACCCTTTGAAGATCTAAACAGATATTTGCCATATTGTAGCTTCTCTCCTAAACAAAAAGGCCAAACAGGGTACCTTGGAAAATAAAATACCAGTGTGGGGCATCAGATACAGGGCAAAATAAAAACATTAGAACAGAGAAAACCCAAGCATTTAAGAGTTTTTTTTTTTTTCTTCATTTTTTTCTTGTATTCTCAAATCTCAACTTTAGTATCAGTATTCAGTAGTAGCAATATATACCATTAACTTCATTTTAAAGTCCAACTAAACACCGAGTTAACCACATAAATATTGATAACCAAACATAGTTCAGTAGCAAAACAAAATTATAAAGTTATTTGAGACACCAACTTTGTTCAACCTGGCTCAATGGTACTTTAGACACCAAAGACATACTAAATTGACAAGGTATCATAAGCTAAAGTTTACAGGAGCTCAGTCAAGGAAACACAGTAACATTGTGAAAAGAAAATAGTAGAAACTTGTTAATGGTCAACAAACCACTTGCCTGCCAGGCTCCTTATTCAGAGAGAGCATAGTTGTTATCTTTTTCACTGCCACTAAAGTCACTACTTTGCGGCACACTTGAATAATGGGCTACATCAGCAACTGCATTACTCAAAGCACCCATTGCACAACTTGCACAAGCTGCAGTACTTGAAAAATAACCACTGGTATCATCTGCATCATAAGATTCAATTTCATAGTGTTCACATAAGTCATTTCCTTTGTTCAGAAGGATTAGGCTTTCCACATAACTGTCAATGAAAAAACAATCATGTCTTCCATCAATTTTAAGATCCTGAAACTCTTGGCTCTTCAAATCCTGTGAAACCATGCGTCCAGCTATATCCTCTTCCTGGAAATGTAGGTTTACTACGCCCAAGAAGACATGGCCGTTGTTTCTAAACCCCAATCGCCTTGGACTTTTGAAGTCACCCAGATTAACAGTTGACAGCTGAGTCCAAGATTGCACTATGCCATACTCTTTCATCACCCATATATGAAGATCATCATTAGCACCTAACAACATTACTGATAGTAAATCCTGGCATGCCCAAACACCAAAGTTCCTCAAACTCATTCTGTCTGGCAACATAATTTCCCGAAAAACTTCTTCACCCATATCAAATCCCAAAATCAAATCCCTTCCAGACCTGAATGCAGCAAAATGGAGATTTCCATTAAGAAAAGTCATTGCTCTCTGCGTAGTCAACCTATAAAATGCTTGAGCATCAGCGAGTCGTCTCCAAGAATCATGCCTAAGAGAGTAAACCTCAACTTGTAAGACCCCTTCATCATACAGCACGTTTGAAACTGCCAAGATCTTGTAGTCATTGGTTCTTGAATCATACCCTAATCCAACAGATTCTAACCCAAAGAAACTTCGCTCTGGAAGGATCACAGACTTCCTAATAACTGGGTTCCATAAGATGAAGTGCACAGGACGTTTAAGATTACCATTTAAGATACATACCAATCCATTGCATGATCCAAATGTCTGAAACCCATATTTAGATTTGTACGGGAAATGAAGTTGGGCATACTGGTTGAATTCTTGGTTGTCAAAGCGCAAGGAGAAGACGTCTTCTCCTTTGGTCAGAGTCCGAAGCTGAAGAAGGCAGATGCGGGTATTGCCCTGCTTGTATGAGGAGATGCTGTCGTTTAGGTGTTCGGAAACGAAGGAGGGGCTATTAATCATGGAATTCCAGGTTTTACAAACGCATGCGCATGTAATGATTGATTTAATGGGCAGCTTACGAATCATTATGGAGAGCACTTCTTGCGGTAAATTGAAAGGATTATTTGCTTGATCTGACATGCTTTCCAGCGGAAATTTTGAACAGAGCTGAGACAGAGACGGTGACACTATTTTCTTGAATAGAACCCTAATGGAAGCAAAGCAACAGAAGCGAGGCAGTAAGTAGGGTGGCAGTGTGGCGGTGTGGCGCAGCTCAAAAACACCTTGTGGTTTGTTGGGTTAATCCCAATTTGGACACAAAATGAGGGGCAAAAGCCCAGAGATTGCCTTCAACCGTTTTAGTGCGTGAAATTTTACTTTTTATTTTACAATATATGATTTTATTCTCTTTTAATATTCGAATTTATAATTTTCTACTCTTATGGTATTTGAATGTGTAAAATTTTATCATTCACTTTATAATTTTTGAGGGTTGCACGTGATCCTATAATATTAAAAATTATTTTATTATCATAAATTTAAATACTAGAAAAGTATAAAATCAAATATTATAAAGTAAAAGGTAAAATTTCATATACTCAAAAAAAAAAAAAATTGAAAGACAATCAATGGGGTTTTGCCCAAAATGAGGCAATCCTTTCTCTCAATGGCCCATTTTGTT